CGCTCTTCCTCTTATATCTCGGTTTTTTCTAAAATTCTTCGAAAAGATCTAGATTATAGTTAAACGGAAAAAATCTGTTGTCGTTCTCGCTCTCATTCTTATCTCACTTTCATTCTCGTCCGAACAAATCAGACGTAAAATTCACGGAGACAATTCCTAGAAAATAATCCATATGTGCTTCGATAAGATAACCGATTTCGAACAACGGTCTTGTAATCGAGAGATATTAGATTAAAGCTTACGCGTTTAAATTTTACTTTTGTAAAAACTTTGCTTCTGTTTCTTATATGTATATATCGAGCACAAAATGACTTGTACGTATCATAAAATTTTAGCCAACGTATTTCAGATAAAACTTGTGGGTAAAGATTCTCCGCACCACACACAAGACCTTCCACGAAATACGAATTAGGCCCGTCCTACAATAAGTCGTATGTCGTTAGTCGTAAGCAAATTGACCAATCACAGTCGAATATTCTCGGAATAATTAACTGTCGTTGGTCAATTTGCTAACGACTAACGACATACGACTTATTGTAGAACGGACCTTATCGGCGTACATCGCACACATATGTATAAGTTTCGTTCTGTTTTCCATCCAGTTGACTATATATAGACTTCGACATTGTTACGTCCTCCCCCCTCCCCTCATTTCCAAAAGAAAAGATAATCGAGGAGTTTCGCGGAATTATTGATGCGAATGGTGAATGGGTTTAAATCGCGCCAACTATTGTATCATCTTTCTCGGCGTATTAATGCATGTCGTTCGAAAAATTCCTTAATAATTTCACTTTCGTAAACACGCTTTCAGGATTTGCGCAGCTTTGACTGTATCGAGAATACGACTAGTGTCTTGTCAAAGTTTATAACCGAATCGCGACCGCGTCGTCTTTATTTAGTTGTGACATGAAGGTAATCGACCTTTCGATCGTCTTTTATATAACGCTTTTATATACACAAACAATAGGGAGATAAATAAAGAAATAAATTACACGCTTACTTTTCTCAACAAAAAATAAAGATGAAAAAATAACTATATTTTTAAATAATTATATTTTTAAATTATAACTTTTTAATTTAATTGTTGATTGATTATATTTTTAGTTGCTATAGCAGACATTTTATATACTTTATACGTTACTTCCTGCGCTTTATCTCATAAATCTCAAATTGTAGTTGTAAAGCACGTGATCGCAAACCCACAGAAGAGTAGCGAGGGTGGCAGCTTCCCCGGCTCCGTCAACGTTTATCGAATTTTTCGCGGAGCCACTTAGATAATTCACAGGCAGGCAGGAGGTTTACGTAAGAATCAATCATATTTTGGCGTCACGAGGAATTTAAAAGCTCGTGGCTAGTTGCACGATCGAGAAACAGAGAGAGAGAGAGAGAGAGAAAAAAAGAGAGAGAGAGAGAGCAAAGTTTTTCTTTTTTATTGTATTGATAGGTATGTTGACATAATTGTTTCATTTTGTTGGCAAAATTTATGGCAAAATAACAGACCCCCGGGGTATGTGTCTTGCATTCTCTATAGGTAAGCCCGTTTCTTACAACTTTCTGCAAACTTAAGAATTAAACGAATAATGGCATTTTCAGCAGAAGAAACATGAAAGAGCATATTTGATGGTGAATATGCATGTTTCTTTCTCGATTCGATTTGGACGGATACGATTTGACACGCTCCGACATAAGCGCATGTCGATGTTTTCGGATCGATTTGTTCGTTGGATATTTACATTACAAACATTCCGATAAGGATGATCCTGGTTTTGTAAAACCTTTTAATCCTATGCCTGAACGCTATTTCAAGCGAAACCTACTAAACAATTTTTTCGCAATTTTTGCACTTGAAATAATAATTATGTTTTTTAAACTGTTTTTGTATTTCTAATTTTTAATCCAATCAATATACTTTAGCGTATATTTTAATTATGAAATTTAAATTAAAAGTGGATCTTTTTTGTATATTGATTTAGATCACCATTATTTACAGTTCAAATGTGATTCGTTCTCTTCAGTTGCTTGTCAAAGTTTGTACACGGTTGAGGAAAGAAAGCTTGGGCTCTTGGTGTGAGAATAGAAAGTTAACCTTTAAACTCTCGACAAAATCTTCTGTAAGAATATCTTATAATTTAACACAGGATAAATTTTATTCACTAGTATGCAGAATTTTAATCACAGTCTTTATTTCATATTTATATTTTTATATTGTATTTATGTTTTTTTCTGTGTTTATAAATATTAGTACTACAATTAATTATTGTTTCTTAACTTCTACGTTTATTAACGTTCTTAATTATTGTTACTTAATTAGTCCACGCTATTATGAATTTATACGAAAAAAAATAAGCAAGTCGTCTACGGGGTACAGGTACACGTCCTGTCTTGGCGTTTCTACGTAATAAGAACGACGCGTCCAACGTAAATTCGGAGATCCGGAATTCATTATCCGCATCGTTGACGGCGTCCAGTTCGACGCCGCCACGTCGATCGATGGCTGCTGAACGTGGATGTGTCAATTTGCGATATTATGCGGAACGCGGCGTGTAAACGCGCACGACGACGGTAGACGCGCGAGGACGAGCACGGGGAGGGGTGGGGAGGGGGAGGGAAGGGTGGCGACGGCGACGACGGGGGAGCAAGGGGGCAGGAAGAGGGAAGTGCGGGATGAGAGAGTCATAAAATCGAGCGAAGTGAACGCCAGGAGGGAGACACTGAGTGATGTCGGTGACAGGCCGACCGCCCTCCTCCTCGTCCTCCTGCAACCGCCTCCTGTCGCTATTACTCACCGAACGCCGAATACCATTCAAAGTTCGAAACCGCACGTTCGCGACCCAATTCCTACGCGGAGTCAGCTGTTCGGTTCATTCAAAGCTCGATCGTTGGCGCCGTTGGACGCCTGGCGAAAAACACCGACGAAATTATGAAAAAAAAAAGAGAAAATTGATCGCCTATGTCCTATATCGTCGCCGTTGATAATTTTGTTTGGTCGCTAATCACTCTCATGGACACACTCATGGACACTTCATCTCAGACGAATCCGCGTTAAGTCATTAAAATATGAATTCAATATTTTTACTTTGACATATACATACATACATTATTAAAATTTCTAGATTTCAATAACTATTATCATCTCTTGAAGAGAATAATACCAAAGAATTATCGACAATGATTAACGTGTATGTGTGTGTATGTATAGTATGGTGTGTTTTATATTATATATATACGCGTATGTGTGCATGTATGAATATTTCGCTGCATCTCATCTGAAGCAATAAAAAATAAAGAACAATTTTCCATTTATAAAACTTAAGATATATACTTAAAGCCTCTTGTTCAATACGAGGAAATGATAAATTCCGCGGCAATTTCTATTTTGGATTTATCGCGATTATCATGCATATGTCTTTAACATATTTAAAGTGATATAAAAAGATTTCAAATATTTCTTATTCTTATACAAACGTAGCTTTCTTCTCGCGGTTAACTGAAAGATTCTTGTGCTGCTGCCCGCCAATACCGTCCGACGGCAAACGGCGACCAAAAGAATCGCGTCTCATTAAATAGGATTACTAAGCAATCGTTTGCGACGTCTGCCAGCATCTATAATTCTACTAAAACAAATATTCATTCCTCATACGTGCGCGCGTGATACTATAATTTAGGAAAGAACGGTGATTTATCGTGACAGAATTAGCCGATTCTGCAACTTGGATAGATTGCAAGTTTGTGGAAACGGTTATGTTTGTGCAAAAATAGCGTTGCGACGGATCCTCTCTCTCTGCCAAGAAGTATTCGTCGCGCTGACTGTCAGTATTATCCTGCGCTCGTGACCGCTCGACTATCTTCGGCTCGATTCGCCGAGCAAGCAGAAGGGGAGAGTAGTCCCGAAAGCACATTGTCAAAATACGCACTAGTTATTCTGCGAGACAACATCGATCACCGACGATCTTCGCGCGACATAAACAATTGTATTAATACCCACGTCATGTTTACATTTACAATCAACAAAAATCCAAAGTTATTTATGCGCGGGTTAACATTCTCACTACGTATATTATTTAAGATATACATTGTGTGTTTACACACACATATATATAGACAAGTATATTATTGTTACATGTAATTGTTTTAATTGGAATATTGATCGGATGTTGTCGAGAGCGCGAAATTATTTAAATATTATAGAAAAATAGCACGCTATGTAAAAAGTAGCGTTTATGTAAAGTCTCTTTGAAAAATATCGTTTTCCCAGCAGCAAAATTTTAAAATAGATAAAGAGAGAGAGGATCGTACAATTTTTTCTCTACTTTAGTTTTTTTAGAAGGACAGTCTCGAGAGGCGAATATGCCTCGGGAAACGCCTCGGTTGACCGCGCGCGAGCGTGGAATTGGAGCGACGGAGAGTTGGCCGCGGGATGTCCCTGGTCCGCGTATCTTTGTTGTATTTCGTGCGAACGACGTTTTCTCCTGTTTTCGTATCGTCCTAGCCACGGCCCTCGTCGTCGCGGCCACCGCCGCCGCCGCCGCCGCCGTCGTCGTCGTCGTCGTCGTCATCCGTCGGCGGTCTCGTTGGTAGTGGTGTAGCGATGGCGGAGGATTCTGTAGTTCGCAATCTCGCCGTCGCGGCGCTGGACCACGCACTCTCTCGCCCGATCCCGATGGGCGGTCTCGAAGACGCATTGGCCGCGTTCCGTAGGCGTGGCGGCGAGTCTCCCACTCTACGGCGTAGCGCGGCGCTGATTGACAGTTGGCGAACGACTGCGGAAGGCGCAGGATCTAAAACCGCGCTAGGCGCTACTCTCCACGCTCGCTCGCTCCGCTCTTCTCTAACCCGTGCGATCTACACCCGGTTGCTTTTTCGTGGGGGAAACCTGAAACACGCATATCCCCGTGGCTGCCTTCGACCGCGCGCCCGCCGCTACGTGTAACACACTACGAACCTACCACCTTCTGTCCGCCGGAGTTACGAGTGCCACACGCAGTAGTAGTCACGGTCAGGGAGGAGGGTCGCCGACGTCTCGCGGACATCACTCGCTCGCGCGGTCTCCTCTCTCGACTCGCGTCCGTACGGTCTTTATGGTGATATCGTATGCACCCGTCGTGTAACACAGTTAACGCGCCGAATCGTCATCGTCGCGTCGCGTCCGCGTCCGTCTCCGTCTCCGTCTCCGTCTCCGTCTCCGTCGTATCCGTGTACGTAGTATTCGTCGTAACGTCGCGCGCGCGTTATCGCTCCACGATCCGGTTTTTATAGATTGTGCGCGACAAGTTGGAAGAAGATACGTATCGCGGGGCAGCTGCCACACTGTCGTGCGTCACGCGCGTCTCACGTAAATACATCCGCGAGGAGCATCCGCGAGGTGCGAGCGTAAACACATCGGTTGACTGTGCCGCGACGGTGAAATAGTGTTAAGTCGTGACGCCCGTCGTCGTCGTCGTCTTCGTCGTCGGGCGTCATTGTGGATTTCGTCTCGTCTTTGAGTATCGAAGGATGTAACGTGTTCTGTCAGTGACATCATCGGTGATCATCAGTTCTTGGTGCGCGAAACAGTGAATATAGAAAAACAGGACGTCTCTTTAGGACGCGTTCTATCGTATCGCGGGTGTCGGATGTGAGAACAAACTTCGGATCACACAATCACGGCTCACTTCGCGCTACTTGCCACAGACATCCCGGCGCCATCTCCATGTGGCACGCTCGGCCGACAGGTCCCGCGATCGCCTCGCGCGCCAAACTCCCGCTCTAGGTATATCATTCTCCGCGTTGATACTTATCTCCTTCCAAAATCGACCAAAACTCATCGTCGTTCAACATATCTCTCGAGACGAAGCACGTGCCCGCGCGCAACGTGCAAACGTGATATGCGCAATTGACGGGAGGCGCTCTGACACCCGAACTGTGTCCCGGAACGACCGCGGTGGTGTCATCAGCGACGATGTGGAAACACGTGCATCCGGCCGCAGCCCTCGTCGTAACCGTCGCAGAAGCCTTATCGCAAGCGATACCTGCCACCGAGCTGTGCTGACGCTTGTTCGCTATTATCTAAATTCAACGTCGGCTACACGTCTCGTTGTGAGCGACGCTCTCTTGAGCTCTTCGAGATATAAGAGAGAACGAGAGAAATTAGTAAAGACAAACGGAAAACGAGAGAAAGATTTAGACAGAGCGGAATACAAGCGAGCCGACGGAACGCGATTGTTCTAGACTTAAACGAGTGCGTGTAAATTCGCGTATCGAGTATTCTTTTCGATTATTCTAAAAAGAAGAAAAAGGGAGAAACTCATCTTTCAGTTTGACCGTCGGCTGCTGACGGAGGTTGGAATTCGCTCTCGATCTCTATCCGTCGGACAACCTAACCTTTTACCGCGAAAGTTCAGCGTCGCGTAGCGCGTCCGAGCGCCAGGCTTAGATCGCGCTACAATAGTGCTGAGAAAGTGTTGTGAAGTGTCGAGGCTCTCTTGCTTACATTGTGGGAAAATACAGCCGCTACGGTGGCTCAGCACGCAGAGTTCCCCGGCGCGGCCAGGGCGTTCATGGCGCAGCCAAGGGTACGTTTTATACATTTGGCATATATATATATATTTATTTATCTTTTGCCCCTTAGTTATTCGCGATGTTAGGCGAAATAGTCGATAGGCCGCAGAGATGACTCGCGGCGAGTTGTGTAAAATCGATTTGTGCTCTTTACAAATATTTTAGATATTTTTAATTTAAAGTATAGGATTGAAATATCCATAAATATTTGTTGCAGACGAGTGTGTTAAAAGTGTTTAAATAGCAATATCACGAGAGTGAAATTCAGAAGGAAAATACCATAAGTTGTAGAAAGATTCCATCTTCTCTAAATGTCGCATTTTAATAAGACTCTTGTTACGCGAAAGTGATCGAGTGTCTGTCGTGATTCGTTCGTTTCGCGATTCGAGGAAGATCGAGTTTTTGCGGATACTGCTTATAAAGGGAGCCCTCGGGAGTCATCGGCATCGTGTGTGAATTTATAAAACAGCCTCGCAGCTCGAGAGAGGCAAGGAGTCTCGTCTTAAGCGCGCGCGGATCCCCGCAGCCGGTGAATTTGAATTGAATATCGTCGTCGTGTCGAAAGAAAATTTACATGTCGCCACGACCGTTTTGTAACGCCGTTTACAACGCGACTGCGACGTCCGAGGAAAGAGACGGTCGCACAAAAGGGTTGCTTGCGGGCTCGCCGAGAGCGAATTTCTTATTCGCGCGCGAAATTCGGACGTTTCGCCGATTCGCACGGATGCGAACAGACGGGAGATAGAGATACAAAGAGAAAGAGATAGAAAGCGTTGAATAACCGTTGCGAGTGTTGCGGGCCCGTTTCGTGTTTACGTGCCGATTATAAGCATCGTAATCGGACGACTTTGACCGCGGCGTAATTACGACCGATAATCATAACACAACACCGGGGAGTAAATTTCCTCTGGCCTCGATTGTGAGTCGAGATGACGCCTCGCGTTCGTCGCCGTCGACTTCTCTCGAATAATACGGGACCGACAAAATTCGAGTGGAGAGATAGAATTTGCGTCGAGGTCACAACATTTCGGAAACAGCCGCGAGAAATCCTCGCTCGAGTGCATTTATATGGCAATGTAGATTTCTCGTTGAATATTTGCTACATGATTATTTTTTCGAATATTATCTCCAGCATTTCGGGCTTATATGTGTTGAAAACGATTACGTGTGTTAGAATTTTAGAGAAAGAGAGCAGACTGTAGCTCTCTCATCCAGTCAAGTCGCGATGATAAACACGCATGACACTCTGCGAACGCGTAATTAAAACAAGCGGCAAATTGACACTCCGTTGTTGTCCTCAATGATGAAAGACGTCGCTATTCCGAAATACGTTTCCATTCACATCGTGTCTCGTAAATATTTCTAATGTGTCAAGAGTTAGACGTATTATTTCTTCATTATTCGCGCGTTAACGTAATAAATAATTGCAAAATTATCTCGGTAATAGATAGTTGTCTCTATGATAATTCAATTAAGTGCGATTGTTGAAGCTTTTATTTTTTGCACTTTAAACGCCGAGATCGACGTGAACTCGAGTCATTCTACAACTTTCAAAACTAAATTATTACACACTATCGTTATATGATATAGTGTAATAAGTGTAAATTATTTCTTTCGAAAATTATTGAATTCCCAGATTTTCTTATTACTCGTTAAAATTTATTTTAGCATTGCACATTATCATTTTCAACTTTGTATAATTGCGTTAGCAAAAATGGCTTTAATATTTAAGTTTCGATGACGTCATTTTCATCCAAGCTAGCAATTAAATTTCATCGCGTTACAGAGATCGCAAATTTAATATAACGTGATGAATTTTTCATTCTTTCTGTTTTAAAAGGTTCCACTTTGTGATTAAAATCTATATGCATGTCAGTTATCTTTCTCCATGAAATCCGCCGACGGATGATAGAGTCTGCACGAAATATTAACATAAAGTTGTGTAAATGAAACAACGATTGGAAATAAAAAAATTCACCGTCGCTTTATATTCACCCCGACGGGCGATTCTCGAAGGGAGATTATTTCGATACAAACGTCATTTCTCACCAGCAAACGAAGACGGAAAGCTTTATAGTCGGGGCTACTTCTTTTCGGGGAATTGATTAAGTTTCGTGCGTTTACGGTTTACGCAACAGACAAATAAGAATTGCTGGAGACAATTGTCGTTTTCGTATAAAATCTCTGTCTCGTGATAGACTTTTATCTGCTTACGTGGAATCTGCCAAAGTATCGCGCGCGAAGTTGAAGATGTGATTTGCATATTTATATCTATGTAGAGAAAAAATATATGAGAGAAATGCAGTCGTCGAATCTCTGGATTTTTGGATAATATAAGTAAATTTTTAAGATTTATGAACATAAAACGCGAGAATTTATAATAAATTATTAAACATATATATTTTCTTTCTTAAATATTTTACTTGTCATATGGTATTTGTTGATCTATTGATTGTCATTTTTTATTATTATGTGATACGTTACTGACCGTCGGATGTATATTGTCACATTTTTCTTCTTCGACATGCTTTTGAGTTTCACATTTTTAAATATTTCAATATATTATAACTATTATTTATACATAAATACGAATTGTAAATTAAAACGCTAAAATGACGCGAAATAGGAATAAACTTTCTTTTTTATATATACTATATGACATATTGATAGATAAAGTTTTTATTTCTGCTATCATTTAGATACTAAAGTAGATAGAGCAACATCTCACAAGAGATTGTTGCAAATCAAAATATGCAACTTCCGAGAGAGAAGAGCTGCACATTAATACTTGTCTCGTTTAAAAATTGTTACGATAGATTTGACATTTAACGAATAAATGTTTCTGTATGTGCATGTATGTGTGCGCGAATATATTACTCGGTCTGTTCTAAAAAATTGTATTTTCTTGAATTCCTCGCGGTTAATTCGTTTTGTCGAGATACGAGGAATATATTCGAATAATTTTTACTCCGTCGTATGCAAATGCGAAATACTTGTGGTGGACTCGATCGCTGAAGCGAAGGAGTTGAGGATTAAATTCGATCGTATTGACACTTCTTGATCATTCAATGCACGGTGCTAAAGAGAGGTCGTATTGATTCCGATAACTGACTCTCCGCACAAAAGCAACGCTTCTCGCGCGCCGATAATCGTTCGCATATTTATACTCTTCGCGCGTGTGACACATCGCGATGCGTGCGGCTCGATATATTTGTAAGATTCCTTTTTCTCTTTCTTAATTTCTAGCGAGATGAATCTTTTCGTATCTTTTTTTATATAACGCTTTTGAATTATAGATTTTGGTTTTAATTTGGTGTTAATTGTATTATAATCAGGATAAAAATTTAATTATTTTGATTTCTCACGCTGTCAAAATACGTCAGAAAATGAAAAAACTTGCGTCGAGCCACATCGCGATGCGTGCGGCTCGATATATTTGTAAGATTCCTTTTTCTCTTTCTTAATTTCTAGCGAGATGAATCTTTTCGTATCTTTTTTATATAACGCTTTTGAATTATAGATTTTGGTTTTAATTTGGTGTTAATTGTATTATAATCAATTGTATTATAATAAATTTAATTATTTTGATTTCTCACGCTGTCAAAATACGTCAGAAAATGAAAAAACTTGCGTCGAGCGCCACATTTTTTTCTCATTGCCATGAATAAATATCAGTGCCCCGTTCTCAAAGTGTTAATTGCGCTTCGCGACGTGAATAGTTCCGAGTAAATCGGATATAATGAGTATAGATGATTTTGGGTAAATAACATGTTTTTGCGTCCGGTAGCGGGGTGTCTCAATCGAAGTAGGATTGTGCAAAAAGGATCGAGCGCACGTTTTTTACAATATCGTCGTCGTGTCGAAAGAAAATTTACATGTCGCCACGACCGTTTTGTAACGCCGTTTACAACGCGACTGCGACGTCCGAGGAAAGAGACGGTCGCACAAAAGGGTTGCTTGCGGGCTCGCCGAGAGCGAATTTCTTATTCGCGCGCGAAATTCGGACGTTTCGCCGATTCGCACGGATGCGAACAGACGGGAGATAGAGATACAAAGAGAAAGAGATAGAAAGCGTTGAATAACCGTTGCGAGTGTTGCGGGCCCGTTTCGTGTTTACGTGCCGATTATAAGCATCGTAATCGGACGACTTTGACCGCGGCGTAATTACGACCGATAATCATAACACAACACCGGGGAGTAAATTTCCTCTGGCCTCGATTGTGAGTCGAGATGACGCCTCGCGTTCGTCGCCGTCGACTTCTCTCGAATAATACGGGACCGACAAAATTCGAGTGGAGAGATAGAATTTGCGTCGAGGTCACAACATTTCGGAAACAGCCGCGAGAAATCCTCGCTCGAGTGCATTTATATGGCAATGTAGATTTCTCGTTGAATATTTGCTACATGATTATTTTTTCGAATATTATCTCCAGCATTTCGGGCTTATATGTGTTGAAAACGATTACGTGTGTTAGAATTTTAGAGAAAGAGAGCAGACTGTAGCTCTCTCATCCAGTCAAGTCGCGATGATAAACACGCATGACACTCTGCGAACGCGTAATTAAAACAAGCGGCAAATTGACACTCCGTTGTTGTCCTCAATGATGAAAGACGTCGCTATTCCGAAATACGTTTCCATTCACATCGTGTCTCGTAAATATTTCTAATGTGTCAAGAGTTAGACGTATTATTTCTTCATTATTCGCGCGTTAACGTAATAAATAATTGCAAAATTATCTCGGTAATAGATAGTTGTCTCTATGATAATTCAATTAAGTGCGATTGTTGAAGCTTTTATTTTTTGCACTTTAAACGCCGAGATCGACGTGAACTCGAGTCATTCTACAACTTTCAAAACTAAATTATTACACACTATCGTTATATGATATAGTGTAATAAGTGTAAATTATTTCTTTCGAAAATTATTGAATTCCCAGATTTTCTTATTACTCGTTAAAATTTATTTTAGCATTGCACATTATCATTTTCAACTTTGTATAATTGCGTTAGCAAA